AGGCGGAGAATACCTGCACCCTGGCTGACCTCCCCGAGGGGCAGGTGGGGAAACTGCTCATCCGCAAGTCGGGGAAGGTGCAGCTGGTGCTGGGGAAGGTGACCCTGGACGTGACCATGGGGACCCCCTGCTCCTTTCTGCAGGTACGGGGGCTGGGGGGGGGACACGTTGGGGACCCAATTCGTGGGGCTGCACCCCAAGATAGCCCCTTGGGGTTCCCGAGGACCATCAGGGAGGAGCAGGTTCATGCTGGCCCTTAGGTGATGGGGCTGGCAGCCCGTCCCTGTGGCAGAGGGGGGGAAGGATCCTGCCCTTGTCCCCAAGGTGTGGGTAGCACAGGGACACATCTCCTCCAGGCTTAGCCCCCCACCAGCGGGCAGGGACCTTGGCCCTTCTCCCGCCATGGTTAAAAGGTTTCCCGTGGGAGTGGGCTGCTCACGGGCATTTCTCCCCTCTGGAAAAGGAGCTGGTGTCCGTCGGCATCGGGGACAACCGGACGGGCGAGATGATCGTCCTGGGCCACGTGAAGCACAAGCTGGTGTGTTCCCCGGACTTCGAGGCTCTGCTGGAGCACCGGCACCGGTAGCCCAGGGGGAGCCGGCGGGGGACCAGCCCCACGCCCACAGCCCGTGGGGAACGATCCCTGCAGTTCGGGGACCCTGCAGCGCCCCAGCTCTGCCCTCAGCCCCTCCAGCCTTGCCTTCGGGATGTGGAGAGGTGTCTTCTTGCAGGTGTGGGCGCAGGGCCAGCTCCTACCTCCTTCCCGGCCCTGCAGTGGAGCAGCACCGGGGCTGGGGGCTCCGGTTCCGTCCCCCAGACCCACTGCCCCGCCCTGTGCAAAACCGGCAGGGGCCGGGGCTGCCTACATCTCACAGACTTCTGGATATGCGGGACCGTGGCGTGTGTCCCCCCCCGCCCCGGGCTCTCCAGCAGCCGTGCACGCGCTGGGGAGAGCAGGACACGTGCCTGTGGGGAGAAATGCGGAATAAAAACCTCTTTTCCCCCCATGTGGGGCTGCTCCGTCTCGCC